AATAACTAATTATTGGGGAGATCTAGGTTTTTTTCCCCCTTCTAGATCCTCCAGCCAGTTTCTGAAGGACTTGCTGATAATGATCAGATTAACTTTCTCCTCAATCTTGTTCAAATTCTACCCAAGTGGGGAAGCCCATTGTGCTCTACTCAGGTTTGAGTAGGGGGTAGAACCTCTGTCTAGATTGCCCAAGACTGAGGATGGTCTGGGAGTGAGAGTGGTCAAAGTCATGTACCCCAGCCCCTCATTAGAATGGGTCCACCTCTCATTATGATACTCATACTTATTTTTCTTATTAATTGTTAACCAATCAAAGTTGTTGCTACCCTCAGGGGAATACTTACTATTCCAAGGGCATATAAGCATTGAGTGGTTTCCATGAGGGGTCTTTGGCATTCAAGAGTTCTACTGACCCCTGTCAGCATGATTAATACCGTCTTTTTTAGACATTGCATTGTTTCATTGACACTATCTCACATATGTGAAGTTTGGTTTAGGCCCCTGACAATTTTCTTGATGTAGTGGTTAATCCTTTAAAAACATGTAATTGCTTAGCAATTATAGCTTTTATTTTGTTAGAGCAATTACTTCCAATAAGTTAATAAAACTATGTTTCTCAAACTTTTTATACATCACGCTACACTCCATTGGCTCCCTTTTGCCTTTAGCATGAAATCTAAGTTCCTCTGTTTGACTTTTAAAGCATTTCATAACCAACCCTGACCTATGTTTCCAATGATATTATGTATTACTTCCTCTCTCACACTCTACAGTTTGACCAAATAGCTTTCCTCACATAGGACGTGTCATTTTCCATCTCCACACCTTTACAATGACTGTTCTCCATGTCTGTAATGCATTGCAACTTTGCCTTTGACTTTTAGAAATTCTTGTTTGCCTCAAAACTCTGACCAAGCTCCACCTTCTAAATGAAGCCTCTCCTTATGCCCTGAGCTGGTGGTGCCCATTCCCCACTCCCCAATTTACCTTGTGCTTATTTTGTATGTACTTATTTATTCATGTTCACATTGTCCTCCCTGAGGGAATGTAAGCTTCCTGAGCACAAGGACTTTCACTTTTGTCTTTGTATCCCTAATACCTTGTGGATTGATTACTGATTGATTATACCTCAGAAACTTTCTCTTTGTTTGTCTCTCTCTCTCACACACAGTTCTTGAAAATGGGGGTATTTATTAAATACTTAGAACTAAAAAATGCATTAACTACCTTGACAATTTTAGCTATGAAGCACGTATGTTAATCTACTGAAGTAACTTCTATGTGTGAGGAATTTGATTTTAATGTAGAACTCAAAAAATAATTCACCTAAGCCTTCATATAAAATAGACATAGGTCATCCTAGAAAGAGATAGTGCCTCAGAGAGTCATTAAATCCACTACCTTCATTTTACAGATGAGGAAACTAAAGTCCAGAGAGGTAGAGATTTTCCTAAGGTCCCACAAGTTTTAAGAGTCAGAGATGGGATTTGAATTGCCGTCCTCAGATTCCTCTGAACCATGCTACCTGACTCCACTGGGCCCCAAAAGATAACAGCCAAGTGCATGAAAAGCTTTCAGGATTCTAAGACATATAGAAAAAAGTCTCCCGTGACAACATACACCTCACCTCTAGCCACAGAGAAGAGTGAAGGATGCATCTTACCTGTATTCTTCCATTTTGCTTTGAAGATCACAACTTCTTTTTTATGACCTCTTGTCACCCTTCAGCTTCTCTTTTCTCCATCTTCTGCAAAGCCCTGTGGTTCATTTTGGAATACATTGCATAGGGCCAGCTGAGAATCTATCCCATTTCACAAAGAGAATCATCTCCCTCATCCAGTAACATTGTTTGAAGTACCCTGAGACCCTTACAAAGTCTTAGCTTGTTCTTCCCTTACAAAGCAGGTGAAATCCATCTAGCTATCTACAAGTATGAGGTTAACAGTGGGAAAATATAAGTATGGTAGACCAAAAATACAGTGGTCTGTGTGAACCATAAAGCTGAATAATGCATGATGCTATTTTTAAAAATTGCCAACACATACTTGGCTGTGTTAATAGGAGCATGCCTTGGCACTAACTGTTCAAGGATTGAGATGTGATCCTTTTGCTGGTTAGCATCCATTTGACCTGAGAATGTCTTCTCCTCTCTAGTTTTCTTCTCTGCATTCTAAGAGATGTATAGAATTTAAATGAATAAATGTGCATTGAGTAGCTACTATATGTCCATAAAAGTAATGGAGAAAATCAGAGAATGTCAACTCAATGCAAGAGGGGAAATAAGAAGTCTGGAAAAGAGGCAAAAAAGTCAGGGTCACTAAACTGAGATAACAGAAGGCCAAGAAGTAAATGAAGGGTAAATACATAGAGAGGATGTTGACCAGTTATTTTTTAAATCCATAAACAATAAGAGGAAATAACATGAGGAAAATTATATTAATAAGACATAAAGAAGTATTTAGAGCTCTCTAAGAAACTGAATACTGGAAATAGATTGGGGGGGGGGGTGGAGAAGTCAGATTCTTTCCCCTGGCAAGTCTCTTAACCTCTCTGGGTCTCAGTATCCTCTCATCTTGAAAAACGTAGAGTTGAACTGAGATGATTTAAAAGGTCCACTTCAGCTCTAATATTCTATAGCTTTTGAAATAATTTATTAAGGTCCTAAAGATTATACATATAGAGAATAAGATGAGAGGTCAACAAAAAAGGCATAACAATTTACTGCAGATAATCTCAACCCAGCTACAGAAAATGCTGAGTGGCAAGAATAAACAGACACTTACTAGGTGTGTGACCCTGGGCAAGTCACTTAACCCTGTTTGCTTCAGTTTCCTTGTCTATAAGATGAGCTGGAGGAGGAAATGCAAACCACTCTAGCATTTTTTTTTTGCCAAGAAAACCCCAAAAAGAAGTTATGAAGTGCCAGACATGACTAAAACAACTGAACAACAAAAAGAATAGCTAGCTCTTTCTTGATCTTCACTCAGTCTTGGTTCTTCTTCTCCTCCTGTCCGTTAAGTATGGATTACTACCAAAGACCTATTCTGCCTGCTTCCTTTTCTCTTCACACACTCTCTCAGCAATGTTATCTTTCTGAGCGGGTTTAGTTATCATCTATGTGAACATGACTCCAAAACCTTCAGATCTATAGTTTTAGGCCCAGCCTCTCCCATCAGCATCAGTCTGCTTGCTGGGCACCTCCACCTGGATGTCACACTGACACTTCAAATAGCGGTGGACTCACATTGCCTTCCTTCTAAATTACGGCCTTCCTCTTTACCTCCTCATTTTTGTCAGGGGCACCATCACCTTCCTTATCACCCAGGCTTGAAACCTTGGAATCACAGGGCAGTAGTCTGGAAGAGACTTCAGAGGTCATCTGGCCCAACCCTTTGAGTTGGTTGTTGCTATTTAGTCATTCTTCAGTCATATCCAACTCTTCGTGACCCCATTTGAGATTTTCTAGGTAAAGATGCTGGACTGGTTTGCCATTTCCTTCTCCAGTTCATTTTATTTACAGATAAAGGAAACTGAGGCAAACAGGGTTAAGTGACCCAGGGTCACACAGTTAACAAGTGTCTGAGGAAGGATTTGAAATCAGGTCTTCCTGACTCCAGGCCCAGCACTCTATCCATTGTACCATCTAGCTGCCCCTTACTTTACAAATGAGGAAACTGAGGAATAGAGAGGTTAAATGACTTGTGTAAGGTCTTCTGCCACTGCCTACATCAAATCAGTTCTCTAGTCCCTTGTATTCTATTTCTGGAATATCTTTAATGCCTATTCCATAGAATCGCAAAACTTGGTAGTCATTTGGTCCTATCCATATCTGACCAGAAATCCCCTTTATAATATCTCTAGCAAATGGTCATCTTAGTCTCCACTTGATGTGGAACTTCCTCCCTCTCAGTTGGGCCAACTCCCGTTTACACCACTCTATTTTAGGACCTCATCTTTAAATCTCATTCTAAATAACCCTTCTGGTCTCATTTCACACCACTGATCTTCACACATTAGCCAGACTAGATTACTTGTCATTCCCTGAACTCATCCTGTTCTGCCTCTGTGCATGTGTGCTTACTATTCTCCTGTCCTGGATTCCCCTCTTCACATCAACCAGCTTCAGCTACTGACACATTTCTCCTCCTTCAAAGAAGTCCAGTTCAGGTGTCACCTTTCCTGGTTTTCCTAGCAAGAAGTGATTCCCAACACTGTGAATTGCCCATTTCATTCTGTTTGACTTCCATATATTTTATCATGCCCTATTTTCTTTTTTTTTTCTCCTATTTTCTATTTTCCCTACTGGACTACTGATTCCATTGCTACTGGGAGCTCCTGGTGAGGAGTTTCTGGGAGCAATGCAAGATGGGCATCTTCCCTGCATTTTATCCTCCTAGAGATTTGCCTAGAAGACTGAAAGCCATGGTTAGACAGTGTATGTCAGGTGGGAGGCTTGGACCCAGCTCTTCCTGGCTCTCCTACCACTACTCAATATAGTTCTCACTTCCTAATATTCCTTTGTCATTCATAGACATTTCTCATCTCCCCAACTAGACTGCACACTCTTTGGGGGCTTGGATTACATCTTTTTTTAAAAAATTGCATCCTCAGGGTATAGGGCAAGGCGTGGTAGGCTGTAGGGTCTTGATAGACATTTGAAAAATTGAACTAAAATGGGCAGAACATTTAGACAGAGCCAGGCATTGCATTGTGAGGAGGGGAAAATAGAAAAGGAAGCTTTTCTTGGCTGCTGCCCGGAGTAGGCATTTAGCTGGGGAGAAGAGCAACAGTTCACTATGATTACTATACAGCAAAGGAGACTCCTGAGAGCATTGCACCAGCAGTGGAGCAGACTGGTATCAGGAGGATTATGAACTTCATATTTCATATTTTGAAATCTTAATGAATAAGTGCTCATAGCAATATGCTGTGGAATTTAGAGTGACATGTTTTAATCCAAGGATTCTTTCTTTCTTTTTTAGCCTACTTTCAGCTTCACAATGGACTGCCTCGTGACAGCCAACACCAAGTTTTGCGTGGACTTCTTCCAAGAGCTAAGTAAAGGTGATGAACGGGCAAACATCTTTATCTGTCCTCTGAGCATTTCAGTTGCCTTTGGCATGATTAGCCTAGGAGCTAAACGCTCTACTGCTGATCAGATCAATGAAGTAAGTGCTTGTTGCCATGTTTTACATACCTTTGAGCTCACTGCAAGTACTCATGCAAAGTTACTGTTTGTTGTTGTTATTGTTTGTACTTCAGAAGAGGACCATGACATCATAGAGGTTGATGCCAAGACAAGCAAGTGAATTGGATTTAAGTGAGGGAGGGCTATGCAAAGTCACCAGCCTCACTTTCTCCTCCTCTGGAGCCATATACTTAGATCAGGACGACTGGAGATGGCCCCAGATGGGGTGGAAGAACTTGGGCTTTAAAGCTAAGGTCTTTAGCAGGTCTCAATTTGACTGAGGCAATATCCATTTAGTGATTAAGGCAAAGAATGGCCTCTTTAACTTAGTCCAGAAAAAAAAAACTGGGAGGAAAAGACCTTCAAGGCTTCTGGCCAAAACAGAAACAATTTCAATTTACATTCACTTAGAGTCAAACAGGGCCCAAACAATGCCCAAGAGGGGTTTGGCCTTGAACCTAGGGTCAGCCAATCAGTGAGAGCCAGAGCGATCTGGGTTTAAGGCATGATTCTTAAGAAAGAAATCTGGGATAGTATGCTAGAGCAGAAAGCAAAGTTTGCTAATAATGCTCCCCGAAAAGAGTAATGATAAGCTGGCATTTCAATACTGTGCTTTATCAATGACAAATTCCATTCACGTATATTATTTCATTTGATTCTCTCTAAACAATCCCTATTACATAAAAGCATTATCCCCATATTACACTGGGGTCAAGGAGGTGACATGATTGATCAGAGGCCAGACCCAGACAACATGGTGGTAAGGAAAATTGGGATTTCAACATGTTAAAACCCCTAACCCAAAAATCTTTTTGCTACAGAATATGGTCTCTTAACAGTCCCTGTGCAGACACATCTTTGTGAAGATTTGGAGAGTGATGACACATTTGTGCCACAGGTAGTTTCCTTCTTCGAACCTGGAAGCACCATTCCTTATGGTTCCAACTGAATTGATTCCAAATGAAGGGACAAGAATTGTCTTGTTTCTGTGGCAAACACAGTGGAAAGCCTAAACTCAAGTGGTCAGGTCAGGACTTTTACAAGCTGGGTACCCTTCCTAAAGAACTAGCTACTCATCCAAGGGAGGCAATATAAACTCCACCAGGGTTCCAATGAAACATAGTGAAAGGGAATTTATCAAAAGTGCCCTGGAAAAAGTTGAGGTGATTTCATCTAGGTTTTGCAGAGTCCTTCTTCTCACGTAGGTCCCCATCCTGTTTATACTTTACATTTTTAGAGCCTAAGATTTCTTGCTATGCTTTAGACTCAGTTATCTTCACCTATTATTCTCTAAGTGGCTAGGTGGTGCAGTGGATTAAGCACTGGGTGCAGTCAGGAAGATGAGTTCAAATTTTGCCTCAGACACTTGCTAGCTAGGTGACCCTGGACAAATCAATTAACCTCTGCCTGCCTGTTTCTTCAATTGTAAAATGAGGATTATAACAGCAGTTATCCCCCAGGGCTATTATGCAAATCAAATGAGATAATATTTGCAAAATGCTCAGCACAGTGCCTGGTCTATAGTAAGTACTTTTCCTGTCTGAGTAAGAGTCCAGTGTGAGAACCTGAATCCTTCACTCTGACTACTCCTTCCTTCAGTACCTTGCTCATATTGCCTCTGCCTATAATGCCCTTCCTCCTCCTTCTCCTCTGCTCTAAGTCCTTCAATCACCAACTATATTCCTACCTCTTTCACGAAGCCTGCCAGGCCATAGTGATCTGTCCCTTCTCTGAATTCCCAGGAGTGGCACTGATGGTCTCTATCATTTATGTGGTACCAACTATATCCTGTTTGGCACTGCACATTCTTTTTCTGTTTGTATATTCTGTAGATTCATAGACTCAGGGACTTTCAGAATTGGAAAGGGCCTAGGCTAACCTTGGAGTTTATAGGAGAATATTGAGGCTGTCAGGTCAAGTCCAAGGTCATACAGATGAGATGGTTAGTAGATGGGCTGAGACTAGAACCCTAGGTTTCTTGCTTCCCAATCTAGTGTTTTTGTCACACTGTCTCTTCAACTATGTAGTTAGCTCCCTGAAGGTGGCACCTCAGGGCTAAAAAATAATAATGTTTCATTTAGGTAGTGCTTAACATCCATTATTTCATTTGATTCTCACAATAACTCTTTGGGGAAAGTGCACAAGTATTATCTCCATTTTATAGATGAGGAAATTAGATTCATGGAGGCTGAGATTTCCCAGAGGCTTCACAACTAGAAGTCCCAGAGTAAGGACTCCAACCCAAGGCTTTTTTTTTTTAATTGGGGGAAGGGATGAGGAGGAAAGAGGGCAGGAGGAAGAGAGCAAGAGGAAGGAGGATACTCACATTCACATATGTAATGTTTATAAAGTGCATTACAAGGTGCCATTTGATCCTTGCAATAACTCAGCCTCCAAAAGTTTAAGATTATGTACACAGTTGTCACTCAATAGCTTTGTAGAGAATCAAACTGACTAGACCAGAAGAGACTGTGTAAATGCTGCTAAAAGGAGCTGATTTGTAAGTCATTCAGTCAACGAACATTAATTAAGCACTCACTCTGTTCTAGGTGCTATGTTTTTTACTTACATGTGACATACCAGGGCTCTTTTTGAAATAATTGTTATTGATGTCTTTTGTTTTTACATCACAGTCATTACTGGAAACACCCCATATCTGATTTAACCTTTCCTTGTAACAAGCAAATCAATTAAGGAAAAACACTTGATAAAACAGCTTCAGTTGACAATGCATATAATATTCTGCCAGGAGTAGTTTCTTACCTCTCTGCTCTATGGAAGAGGAAGTATGTTTCATTTTCTGTTTTTCCGGACAATTATTAGTTTTTCTATTTTCCCTCCCCCCCTTCCTTCTCTTTCTTTCCTTTTCCTTCCTCCCTTCCTTCCTTTCTTCTTCCCTTCTACTTTTGGCCAACCAGACCGGCGATTTTGTGGGCACAGGAATCTCTCTTTACTAATGCAGGTCAGCACTTAACACTGCAATTTATAGTTTTTGCTTTTGCCTTTTTTTTTTTTTCCGGTAAGGCAGGGTCCTCACAGGGTCACACAGCTAGTTAAGTGTCAAGCTTCTGAGGCTGGATTTGAACTCAGGTCCTCCTGACTCCAAGGTCAGAGCTCTATCTACTGCACCACCTAGTTGCCCCAACTTACAGTCTTAACAAAGGTTGAGATGGTAAGTGACTTTCCCAGGTTGACACGGCTTATATATGGCAGAGGAGGATCTGAACTCAGCTCTCCCTTATTCTGAGTCTGGGTCTCCATTCTCTACTCCACAACACCTTCAGTTTTTCATTCCAGTGATTTAGTTTTGACTGTGGAATTGATCAACAAGCATTCATCAAGCATTTATCATGTGCCAGGCATTATATTAGGTGCTTTGTATGCAAAGACAGAAGTGACACAGTTCCTGCCCTTAAGGGAGCTTATGTTTGAGTGGGAGAGACAATGTGAACATGTATAAACAAATACAAAAACACATACATACAAAACAGATACAAGGTAATCTTGGAGGGGAAGTCTGGCCTTCCTGACTCTAGGGCCAGCACCCTAACCACTGCACTATCTACCTTGCTGCTACTTTGATCTTAGAATGGTGCCCTTTCACAAGGTCCTAAATAACTTTATTTAGGGCAAAACCTCACCATAGGAAACCCTCACCTACCTTCTGAGCAGGCTTTGAAACTCAGTCTGAATTGTAGAATGTTAAAAGTCGGAATGGACTTAAACCTCTAGCCCAAGGCCCTCATCTGACAAAGATATTAAAACCCAGGGCAAGGGAGGGAAGAAGGGGCTGTCATAGCTGCCACAAGTGGCAGATGGGAGACTTGAACTCACTCTTCTCATGTCTGTTCCAAGGCTTTGAACCATGCTTCCTTTAGTTTCTCTGTCTTGACAGTGGCTACAATGGATCCTTAATAAATAAATGGAGTTTTTCTGCCCAGAAATTTTTTTTTACATGGACACTTATTAAAGAGTTTGAGGTTAGAGAAAACTATAGAATCCATACTAATTCCCAAGACAATGTAAGCCCCTTGAGGGCAGTGAGAGTTTCATTTTCATCTTTGTGTTGCTACTGTCTAGCACAGTGCCTGGCACATCCTAAGAGTTTAACAAAAGCTTATTAATTGATTACAAAAGCCTTTCTGAAGGACAATATTAAATTTCCCATAACATTTGTAACATTATGGCCATTTTCCTAATAATCCAAATGATGCAGTTTGGGGATTGCTGGGAACCTGGAAAGGTCAGGGTAGAGGGTGGTGTCTGCCTGGAATGAATTCATGCACTCAAACTATCTTCCAGTCAAGGAGCAAATTTTATTAAAAAGCCAATAGAAGCAGGCAGGATTCCTAATGAAGCAGCAACTTAATGGGGGTCAGACTGATATACAATATACTGATATATAAAAAAGGGACAGTGAAAGGATCTGGATGGAATTAAGGAGTAGTAAATAGTCTGAGGTGGGCCAAGCATGACAGTGAAAGGAATGTCAAGTAAGTTAGGTGGGCTGCAGTGGGCCAGGTGCCTTGGGCAGAGGAGCTAGTGACCTGGGCTGCTGAAATGGATGGGAAAATTCAGGGACTGGGTTGCTTTCAAAGACATGGTCTTTTCCTTTTAGTGATCCAGGTCCCATCACCCGATCACTAACACTTGGAAAGGGCTTTAGAATCAGAAAACTAAGGTTATGTGCATTTACCTAATTAAGCCATAACATTTAAAAAGTTCATTAGAGCCAGAAAACCTGGGTTCAAGCCACAGCTCTGTCAGCTACTATGTGTGACTCTGGGGAAATCACTTAATAACTCATATTAATAGAGGCATAGGGTCCTGAATGAAGAAGATAACAGGCCTACTGTCTTCTACCATGATCTGGCTATATCCAAACTCTCCTCACTTCTGTGCAAGGATATTAAGAAACCGGAATGCTCCCAGAAGACAGAAGCAATGCTGATGAGAGGACTGGAAAACATTCCCGATGAGGATAGATTTATGTTTAACTTAACTTGGAGATGATTAGAGAGGATATGACTATCTTCAAATCTGCAAAGGGCTGACAGAGAGAAGGCAGAATTAGACTTGTCCTGCTTGGCCCCAGAAGGCAGACTGAGGAACAATTTAGAAAGTTACACCATGGCAGATTTGGGTCTCTATTCATGGAAATATTTCCTAATAATAGAGCTATTAGTGCTACCCAAGATTGCCTCACAAGAGAGTGAGTTTTACATTCCTGGAGGTCTTCAAGAGAAGGTAGGATGTGAATACTGAACAAGGTATTGCTCATATTCAAGTATGGGTTGGAATAGATTACCTCCTAGGTCTTTTTCAACCTTCAGATTCCATAAAAGTGCCTTCACTCATGACACCTCCTCTGATTCTAATAACAACCCTGAAAAAGAGTGGGGGAAGAGGGGAGATATAGACACAGTTCTTACTTTATAGATGAAGGAACTGAGTCTTCAAGAGGTTAAATGACTTTCCTAAAGTTATGGACTATTAATGGATAGTCAGAATTAGAAATCAGAAATTAGATAGTCAGGTCTTAGAAATGAAGATTTCTGGCTCTTGACCTAGGTATTGTTTTTTTAATTACATTATATCCATATTCCCACTCTGCAGGTGCTACACTTCAATGAAGTTTCACAAAGTAAAGGCACAGAACCTGAAATTTCTTCAAAAGGAGCAAGTCAAGGAGACCAAGGGGACCAGCATGAGACGTCAGAACCTCCAAATCCACAGGTATCTATCTTATCATAATAAACTGATTTCCCTCCTCAGTGAAGATGGTCATTTGCTTGCTGCCCGAGTTTTCTTTGAAAATAAATGCTCAGCAGCATTAGGTCCCATGAATCTAAAAAACACTCAACCAAACAATCAAAAAACTATTATTAGACCAAAAATATCTCTGTGATTCCTCTCATCTGACAGTCTCTGAGTTAGTGGATTTGGTTACTTTTTTTTTCTGAAACTACATGAAGAATGATGGCTAGTTGCTAGAAAGGCAGAAATTGCTACTCTAGTCAGAGGTCTAAGGGTGATATTACCCTAGATGAACTGTGGCAGGACACAGCAGGCTCAGGGAGGTATCCATAGTGATTCTCACCCAATAAATGCAAAGAATTTTTCTTTGTCTATATCAGAAATGTGGCTGCTGCAGTAAGTTAAGAAAATTCTCTTGGGGCCATCTTACAGAATTCAGGGGATGATGTATAGTAGGTTCTTGTCATGATCCTGAAATCCAGATAAGGGGGTTGTATGAAGTTTGCCAATATTTTATAGTGTTCCTTTTAAGGGCAATAAGCTAGGATGAAATTTAAGGGCAATAAGCTAGGACAAAAGAAGATTACATGTATGGAGCTGCCTTTATTCATTGTTATTTAAGTATTCCATAGTTTAATTAAAATTTTAAAACTACATGGAAATACTACTATACCTGTATGAAATTGAATAATGACAAATAGGTGTCTGAAAAGAGATTGTGTCTTCAAGGGACAGATTAATGACATTTTATCTAATTTTATTATGTCCTATCAAGAATACAAAGTCTGCGAGTGACGGGTATAGAGATTCTGACTCCTACTTTGGGAAGCTGCTCAAGAAGCTGGATAGTATAAAATCCGATTATACCCTAAGTATGGCCAACAGGCTGTATGGAGAGCAGGAATTTCCAATCTCTGCTGTAAGTAAAACACAGCTAGTAAGTACATTTTAAAGTTCTTCTCCTTCCTGGGCAGTGTTTTACAATGCTCTTCCTGAGGGCAATGCAACAGATGGACAAAAGAACATGGTGGAGATGATGACTGGTAACATTTGCGCCTGTGTGTCCCAACATCACACTATGTTTGTTTTTCCCACACAATGGGCTGCTCCTTGCAGCTCCTGCTTTCTGTTGGTAGCTCTGTCACTGAGAATCGTGTGCTTGTCCTGCTAGTTCTAAGAAAGGTACCATAATTGCTGCATACTAGGTCATTCTTGTCCGGACCTAGTTTGGCAGAAGTTCACAACTAACTCTGTTGTCACACTGAAACAGCTCCAATTTATGCTTTGTAAGCCTGAGTATTTCTTCTGCTCATTATTCTATTTCTCATGGCCTAACCACCTGGCATGAGCTGTGGGTCTATGCACTGCATGGTCCACCCTGAAGCCTTCCTGCACTGTGAGAGAGGGGAAAAGGCTTCAGTCAAAATGTCTGGGCACCATACATCTTGTCTACAGGTGAAGATGGGGGCCAGCCTGGAAAGCAGAGGTCAGTGACCAGAGATACAGTTCTTAGAATTAAAAAGATAAGAGAGTAATGATGTCGACAACAAAGGCCAAAGTCAGTGGCTGAGGTTGCCAATTACAGGACTTCATGGGCTAGAGGTAGTATTATCTTATGGATCTACTTATCTGAAGAGGAAGCCAGGTAAAAAGTATGACAGAAGTATAAACAAGGAAGAGGGTATCTGTGTAACAGGAGACTAGGCTTGAGACTGAGGAAATACAGTAGTGATTCTGAATCAGTGAGGAACAAGGTGTTGGGTTAAACCAGAAGCACTCTAATTTACCATACTCTCCATTTTACCCCCTTACCCAGTCTTGGTTTCACTCTAGCAACTATCTTCTCTAGAATCAATAGATTCTTTGTAGTGGTGGACCCCACCAGCGTCCATTTGCTCCATTCAGCTGATGGCATGCCGTTCTAAATATAGAGGCAATATGGTATAGCAGACACAATACGAGAATTGGAATTAGGAAGACCTCGGATCATCAAATCACACCTCAGATACTTACTAGCTCTGTGACACTGGTTAAGTCATTTAATTTCCCTGCGCCTTGTTCTTCTTCTGGAAAATGAGAAGACTGCACTGTATGGCCTCTAATATTCCTTCCAGCTTTAAAGCAATGACTCCATGATAAAGCCTTATGCAGTCCTAACAACTCCTAGAACAGGGAAGTATGCTTTTCTATTCAGGGGTACCACAGTGCTTTGGAATCAAAATTAAATTTGCGAAAGGATACTAAAATGCAAGAGTTGGAAAGGACTGACATCCCAAGGTACTTCCTAGTTTAGAGCAGAAACAAACTCCCATTTTACAAATAAAAAGAGATTTTCTTCACTGGGTTTTGATTCTCTATAAGTAATAATAATAATAATAAGAATATTAATAATGATGATGCTATAGTCTGTCACTTTAAAAAAAATCTCGCTTGTTTACAGGCCACAAATGAAAAGTGGAATTATAAGGATATTGGTTTGGAAAGGAATATATCATTCTCATTTTGCCCTAATTTATGGCCATGCCAATTCAATGCAATTGCTCAAATGGTCCTGTCTGATTCAGACTGCATATAGGTAGGAATGGAAAGATACATTTCTATCATATTCAGTGACTACTGATATTTTCTGAGATTGATTTCCTTCTATTATTGGGTTACTTAGCTGGTGATTTAGTAACTGTATATGATTTTATTGTAGTATCTTTTACTTTCCTAATCTAACAGGCATATTCAGATAATGTGATGGAATTTTACCATACAAGCATTGAAAGTGTGGATTTCCGAAAAGACACAGAAAAATCCAGACAACAGATTAATTTCTGGGTTGAATGTCAAACTCAAGGTAAGAAAGTGGGAGTCAATAATATGAATTGGAAAGCTAAGGACTTTTAGATTGTCATGTTTATTACAGGATTTAGGATCCATCTAAATCAAACCTCTTTATTTTAAAGATGAAATTATTTAGATCTGAAAGAATAAGTAATTGCTAAGTCATAAGGAAGTAAATAATAATAATAATGATAGTAATAACAATGACAATAAAAATTGACATCTAAATGGCACTTCATGGTTTGAAAAGCCTTTGACAGAATTATTTCACTGATCCTCACAACTACATTATGATTAGGGCTACAGGTGTTATTCTCATTTTACATGTGAGAAAACAGGCTGATGGAAGAGGTTAAGTGTCTCACCTAGGGTCATGGAGCAAGTGTTGGATCTGGGATTCCAACTCAGTTCTTGGGACTTCAGAGTTCTTAAGTCTCTCAAAGCTGTTTTTCTGATGTTGCTGTTACTGCAAAAATGTTTTTTCTGGTTCAGAACCAATGTTTTGCCTGCTGCATCATACTGCCAACTTAAATTCTGTGTTGTAACTATTTTATACTTAATAGAAATGAAAATTCTGAATTTTTTGCTGGTGTTATCCTTTGTCATGTGGATGATGTTTTCCTCATTATGCAATTAATAATTTTAAAGAAAAACATCTAGGTTCCGTTGCCAACCATGTCGGCGCTAGCAAAACAATTTTTCTTTAAGCATCACCAAACACTTAACAGAACCACTTATTGGCCAATTTTCCTCATACTTTTTTCCAATATTGTATATTTTGTCCTGAGCGAAGAGGGATACTGGAGAGAGTGGAAAAAGATAGAGATCTAAATGTAGTGTCAATAGAATATTTTCATGAATTGAAAGAGAAAAGCCACATGGATACACATAACTTGTCAAAAAACACCCTGTCCATGAAGAGGCAGGAGAACTGCTCATTAAAAGTGGGACCTCTCCTATTCTTGGCACAGCTTTGACTGTGATTAGGTCACTAGCGGCGGGATCAAAATACTCCAAATTTGAAGTCTAAATTAAGAAGTCACTGGACAGGACCTTCTAGGGATGAGGCCTCAAAAGTGGCCATTCAACTCCAATCACATTTAAATATTACCTTTAAATACAGGTTCTAGGTTGCTCACCTATAGCCTAGAATACTAACCACATTTTTCTCAGGGTTAATTACTGTGATTTTGTGGGCCATGACCCTATAACTATGAAGTTACATCTCTCTCCTCTTGGTCCTCTTTCCAACTTTATTCCTTCTCTCATAATTATGTATTCTTATGGTTATCCCTAATAAGCAGGTTACAGATTGTCATGGTTAGAAGGGACCTTAGAAGTAATTGGTCCCAACCCTTTCATTTTATAGATGAGCAAAATGAGCCCCAGAGTGCTGAAGTGATTTGCCTAAGCTCACACCCAAACTCCAGTCTTCCTATTCCAAGACCAGTACTCTTTCTATTACCTTCACTATCACGTTTGGGAATAAGATGCTGCCTTTGTGATATACTAATAATATGTTTGCATTTAAGTTGGTAGGATAAGAAACTTAACTCTGTTAAGCTTAAGACTGTTGGGTCTTATGTGTGAATGCATCTGTATGCACGTGTGTGTTAATGCATCTGTTTATTTTCTTTTTCTTTTTTTTTTATATTTGGCAAAGCAATGGGTTTAAGTGACTTGCCCAAGGTCATAAAGGTATTAAGTATTGAGCGTCTGAGGCCAGATTTGAACTCAGGTCCTCCTGACTCCAAGGCCAAAGCTCTATATTTATTTTATTTATTTTTCAAAGAACATTTATTTTCTCTTAAACCCCACAAATTAAAAGGGAAAAAAGAAAGAAAACAGAATCCTTACGGTCAAAAAAACAACTCCCACAACATTCCTGTCCAAAACACGTCTGATTCCGTACCCTCAGTTCATCACTTCTCTGTCAGAAGGTGGGTGACATGTTTTATCCATGAGTTCCCTGGAATCATGGCTGGTCACTGAACTCATCAGAGTTCTTAAGTCTCTCAAAGCTGTCTTTCTGATGTTGCGGTTAGTGTACAAATGTTGTTCTTCTGGTTCTGCCCACTTCCCTCTCCACGATCACAGATATTAAAAGAAACCAAACTCATCTATAGAGCCAAATTCCAGTCCTAGCTAGCGCTTCTGCCAGCTAGTTAATGTGACATGGGTAAGTTGCTGAAGCTTACAGGCTTCAGTGCCCTCATGTGTAAAACAAGAGAGCTGAACTTCATGACTGATGACTACGTTCCTAATTCTATGGTTCTGAACACTACATACACTTCCCCCCTCACTTCCCAACACAGAAAACCAGCTGTTTGGTACAGGGCTGAGAATGCATGGCATTTCATGATGAAAAGGTATACGGTCCAAGTTTACTTCTTGTTGATGCCACAAGCCAGGTTGGACAGCCTTAGTTCTAACCACATTTGTGTGCTCGAGCTGAGAGAATCAATGCTAGTAAGCCCTCTGATTGACCATCAGGCTACTCAGTGGGTTTTTCTTTTTTTTTTTCTTCTTTCTTTCTTTTTTTTTTGGCAATTGGGGTTAAGTGACTTACCCAGGGTCACACAGCTGACTTCAGGGCCAGTGCTCTATCCACTGCACCACCTAGCTGCCCGGGATTTCTAATAATGGAGCTATGCATGTTGTCTTTTATTTATCCACAGGCATTTACTGAGCTTTTGCTATATGTAAAGCACTGCTCTAGGCTCTGTGTGGGATACAAGCATATTTAAGGCATCCAGGGAACTTATAACCCAGTTGGAGAGATAGGATGTATATATAATATGATAAGATTAAGAGCTGGAAGAGGCTATAGAAGTCATCTCATCCACCTGCTTATTTGGAAATGAAGAAACCAAAGCTCAGAAAGGCTAAAACACATGACAGAGGACTCACAAATAGTAAGTAGTAGAGCTGAAATAGGAGGACAGGTCCTTTGACTCCAAAGTCAGTGCTCTTTTGATGTGAACACGTTGCTTCTTTTAAATAAAAAAGTCAATTAGCAATGTAAGGCAGAGTATTCTAAGAGCCACTTAAATGGTCCATCTAATCATGGCTATGGAGGAGATATTATATTTTATGAATTCAAGTTATTTGGGCCAGATAATAACTAAAAGAACTGCAGATGTGCTTTCCAAGCTACTGTTAGTAATCTTTAACAGATCATGGAGAATGGAAAGGACCAGAGCAGCTAAGTGGTGCAGTAGACACAGCATCGGCCCTGAAGTCAGGAGGACCTCAGTTCAAATGCGACCTCAGACCAAACACTTGACACTAGCTGTGTGACTCTGGGCAAGTCACTTAACCCCAATTGCAAAAAAAGGAAAAAAAAGTTAAAAACAAACAAAAGAAACATCATGTACCCTGGCTCATAACTGGTTGAAGCTGCATGACTTAGTAGGAAGAGTGTTGGACTGTGTGACTGTTTGGAAATCATTTAAGCTCTGTGAGTCTCAGTTTCCTCATCTTTAAAATGGGAATAAGAATAAACATCTACTTTCAGGGTTTTTATAAGGATGAAATGAAATTTTCAAACTTTAAGGTGCTTAAAAAAATATCAGCTCATCATTTTTAACATGACTGCAGTATTTCATACTTGGGCAGCTAAGTGGTGCAGTGGATAGACTGCTAGGCCTGGAGACAGGAAGACCTGAGTTCAAACGTGATCTCAGACATTTACTAGCTGTGTGACCCTGGGCAAATCGCTTAACCCTGTTTGCCTCAGTTTTCTCATCTGTAAAATGAGCTGGAGAAGGAAATGGCAAAACTCCAGAATCTTTGCCAAGAAAACCCCAAATGGGATCACGAAGACATGGACACAACTGAAATGACTAAACAACAACAATAAAATATCTCACACTTAGAATGTATTCTGGGATGTTTCCTTCAGGTAAAATCAAGGACCTCTTTGACAAAGACAACATTACTGATTCTACAGTGCTGGTGCTGGTAAATGCCATCTACTTCAAGGCCAAATGGGAAAAAAGTTTTGACTATGAAAAAACAGAAGACTTACCTTTCTGGCTAAACAAGGTAAAGACACCAGTCATTATCCCAGTTTTGAGAATAATATTAAATAGATACATCATGGAGTGGTAGGTAAAGAGTCCACCTCAAAACCAGGAAGAACTGGGACCAAGTTTTACCTCTTGTACATACTAGCTGTGTGACCTTGGGCAAGTCACTTAACTTCTTAGTATTCTGGGCCAAAGGTGTCAAACTCATGGGGCAAGCAAGTAAGGCCAGAAGCAGATTTAAACATAATTGGGAAATGTTCGACAAAATAAATAAAAATATAATGCAAAATAGATAATGTTAATTTGTGGTTTTCTAAGTCAATAAGCAGCTGAGGGATCCATTTCTATTTGAGTTTTACATGTCTGCCCTAGGTAATTTTCTAAGAATATAAATTGCAGAGAAAGTGCTAACCTGTATTGGGAAAGAGAAATTCCTTACCTGTGAGTTCCCAAAGTCAATGAAATCATAGGTTCTGTCTCTGTCCCCATGGTTAATTACAGATATCATGGCCTAATGGAATTCAGGAGTGAGGAAGACCTGGGTTTAAGTATTGTGTCTGACAGTTACTGCTTGATCATGACCATCACCATCCTGCCCCTCTGAGACTCAGGGAATTCCCTAAAATCTATCCACTAAGTTGCAAGTGTTTTGTGCTCTATATTAGTGGAGGTTATTTTCTGCATGGATGAGATCATACATCTTTGACATACTAACTATGGTTAAGCATGTTTTCTCTGGCCCATACATGATATACCAAGAGCTATTAAGTATCTTTGTGTGTGTGTGTGTGTGTGTGTGCGCGCGCAACTTTTAAATATACATTAACATTGGTAACTCAATGGAGAATAAAATACAGGCTATCGGTTTTACCTGTTTAATTTCCCATGGATTATTATTCTAAAAATCAGAGTAAGTGGGAAGAGTAGGATGTATTTGAGTAATGATCTGCCATTATCTTTAGCATCCCTTATTGATGTTTAATATAATATGGTCACTCTCCTGTATTAAAGAGCAGTGACTCACAGAGAACGATGCATCAAAATCCTGAATTCAGAGTAATTTAGATCAGCTAATCATTCTAACTTCAGCAGGTTTCCGAATTCCTGGAAAATGTGCCCCTTTGCCTGAAGCAGCCATGAGCAACATTGAATGTCTGTGAGAAAGGCTAGCTCTCTCTTAACCTTTCCTGCCTTTGTTGACAGAATGAGCAGAAAAATGTGAAAATGATGAGACAACAGAATACATTTAGAATTGGTTACATTGAAGAATTAAAGACACAGATTCTTGAGATGAATTATATCAAGGGAAAGCTCAGCATGTTTGTGCTGTTGCCCACTTTACCTGCCAAGGACTCCACTGGACTGGAAGAGGTAAATTCTTATTTTTGTCTCTCTTCTAGGAACTACCTAAACCAATGAAACCATAGGCCAGGCAAAAGCAAACAAATTAACTAAATATGGACTCTGATAAACAAGGGAGTTTCAGAGATGGAGAAACTAGAATGGTGAATAGTTTTGAGTCCACGCCACAAGGGGGAGTAGTTGAAAGGACTTGGGGTGCTTCCCCTGGAGAAAAAAAGTCTTAGGGGGATATCATGGCTGTATTCAAGAATTTGAAAGACTGTCTTGTGGAAGAAGGATTAAATATGTTTTTCTTGACTCTAGAGGGAAGAACCATTAGCAATGAGTGGGAGTTGCAAAGAAAAGCAAATTTAGTTTAACATAAAGAAAAACTTGCTAACAATTAGAATTGCAAAAGTGGAATGGAATGATTCAAGAGGTAGTAGTCTCTCCCTCCTTGTAGGTTTTGAAGCCCAGACTGGATGACCACTTATCAGGAACATACAGTGGGGGTAGGGGGGGGAGGCATCAGATTAGCTGGCCCCCTTCTAATTCCAGAATTCTGTGACTCTGGCCATTATACATATAGAAGAGACACCTGATGACTTTAATTCTGAAGTCCAACTATGCCTCAGCTGTCAGAAATACTTAGAAAGTCACCTATCAATTAATTAAACAGATATTGATCCTTAAATATCTGACCAACAAATTCTTGAATGAAAGAGAGTCTAGGGTAGCTGGGTGGCACAGTGGATAGAGCACCGGCCCCTGAAGTCAGGAGGACCTGAATTCAAATTCAGCCCCAGACCAAACACTTGACCCTGGGCAAGTCACTTAACCCCAATTGCCTAAGGAAAGAATCTGTTCCAATTCAATGGATCTTTCTTTTTTCTTCATAGCCAAAGGGATAATCTATACCTTCTCAAATCTTACCTTTTTCTATTACAAAGCAAGGGAAAGTGGACACCAAAAATACAGAAAGGGCCTAGACCTTTGTCTCAGAGAAGTGTGCTTCAGTTTCAGCATTAGATTACATGAGTTTTTCCATGTAGATATGGACCTGCCTGGCAAACTGGAGATAGATTATTACTGGATTAGACTCAACCCCTCCCCTCTCCTCTCTTCTCCACTTTCCTCCTCTCCCCTCTCCAGTCCCCAACATGGGGTATCATGTCCTTACCTGAGGGTGTTCTGCCCAAAGGAAGGTATCTTGGGGTTTACTGGCTAGATTTCTTTCTTAAAGACCAAGTCTTACACATTCACTCTGACTCTCATTGACTAGCCAACAATAGGCCCTGGCCCAAGCACCACTTAATGATTATTTTTTGAGCCCTCAAGGCTCAGAGTGAATGTAAACGGTAATTGCTTCTCTTTAGGCAATCAACCCTAAAGGGGTCTTCCCCTCCCAGTTTGATTTTTTTATTATTATTAAAGGGGCCACCCTTCTTAAAACAGGCCTATTCACTGAATGGGCATTGCCTCACTCAAAGTGAGAGCTAGGAAAGCCCTGAGGTTAAAAATGCCAAAGACTCCCACTGTATCCTAGACCACCCTCAGTCATCCTGATCTACATCTGGCCATGGATCCCTCATAGCTCCCGAGGAGAAAGTGAGGCTGGTGACTTTGCACAGCCCTCCCTCACTTAAACCCAACTCAGTTGCAAGTCATGTCACCATCTTCCTGATGTCGTGGTCCTCATCAAGAACGAAGCAGAAACCAAAACCACAAGACTCCCAAGGGACAGCTAGAGGATCAGGTAGCGTGTCACTACTCCAACTGAAGACAGACGTATTTAAGGTAGCTTTTCAAACCAAAAAAAAACCAGGAAGAGTTTTAAAGTGAAATACGCTTGGGAGAAACCCTTGCCGTATTGAGCACCTGTGGATAGTGACCTAGTTTTTTGGAAACAGACTTCTCATTACTAACACTGTTTATCCTTTTCTATCCTGGTAGCTTGAAAAGCAGATGACTCATGAGAAAATAACAGAATGGACCAGTTCCACTATTCTGTGCGAGGAAAAGGTAGACGTTTCCTTTCCCCAACTAACCATGGAAAGCAACTTGGATCTCAACTTTATTCTCCAAAAAATGGGGATCACAGATATCTTTGATGAAGCCAAGTCTGACCTTAGTGGAATGTCTTCAAGCCCCAACCTGTATTTGTCAAAAGCTGTCCACAAGACATTTGTGGAGGTTAATGAGGATGGTACCCAGGCAGCAGCTGCCACTGGAGCTGTGGTTACTGCAAAGTCTGCGTCACCTTATGTCACATTTAATGCCAATCACCCATTTTTATTTTTCATCAAACACAACAAAACAGACACCATCCTTTTCTATGGCAAAGTCTGCTCACCTTGAGAATGGGTCTATTTCCTTCTACTTTATGAGGCAGCAAGAAAATGGTAGCATAGCCTCCCTTTGCTATAACACAGGTATTAGGGACCTGAATTAGAGCTTATCAATCACTTGCCCAATCCCACTAGCCCAACCCCCAGCCATCTGCCCGTGTCACTTCCTGTTCCTCTCCAGGAGGCTTACTCAACACAATTGTTAGCCAACCATTTCTCTCTTTGCTGACAGTTCCCCTGCCAGCTCCCAGGTCCACTTATCTTCATTGACCCCCGGATTTCCACATCAAGAAAGTTCAGAAAAAAGCTTATTATCTCTCTTATTTTGTTTTCCTGTGTTACTAATGAACCAAGCAAATCAGACCTAGCCTACTCAGAAAAGGAACTGGTTGTATTAGAGAATCTAGGAAAAACAGAAGCCTAAGATTACAGTTAAATGGGAAATGTTTTCCATAAATCACATCTGCCTCTACAGTGGAGACAATAGTCCTGGGATGGGGGTGGGAGGCAGAAATAAGGGTATATCAGCAGGGAAAATGTGCTGTCTTTCTTACATCTTCAGCTGCAGGGAAAAATCACTCTCTACTATCAATCAATCTATTAATCCATAAGCATTTATTATGTGTCAGACACTGTGCTAACTCCATTTTATAAACACTTATGTCCTTACTATAGAAACTTAAACAGTGCTCCAGTCCCTACAAATACCTAGGTTAACACCAAAGGTTGAAAATCAGATCAGACTTATTCTCTCCTTTGTAAACAGGAATGTATGAAGTATGCATCCTCTTCAGAGAGAATGGAGATGAGGAGATTTCTCAGGATTTCAGTCATAGAAAAATCATGTTTTGTCCACTATAAAAAAATCCTCACATTTGTAGACTGATGAATTTGGGGGAGGGGGAATAGTTAAGCTTTCTCGCTTGTTTTCCTTGCTAACATATCATCTATATGGATTTAAAGTGTTCTTTTTAAGTAAACAAAGATACTTTGCTAACTAAAATGTCCAAATCAAGTTGCCAAGTAATGAAAAAAAATTGTTTTTTACTGAACAAAACAATAAAGATATGAAGTACAATCCACATAACCTCTATGTTATTTAAATAGTTAAGGTAGAAAGGAAGTGCCTATTATGTGCTAGGCATTGTACTACGTTCTTTACAAATATTATTGAATTAAATCCTCATAATAAGCCTGGGAAGTAGGTGCTATTACTGTTGAGGTCCACAGATTTAGGGGTGCTGGGACCCTAAAATCATGACATGTGGGTCCTGTCTAAATTCGATCCAAGCCTTCTTTCAGCCAAAGACAAGGTTTATTAAAGATCAGCCATATTGGCCAGACTATTAAGGAATCTAAACATTTGTGAGCTATTGGCTAGGTTATAAAAATCTGAGCCCTTGGCTAGACTCTTAAAGAATCTAAGTGTTGTCAAGATTATAAGAATTTGAACACCTTATATACAGAAAGACCGTGGGAGGGATCTAGGAGTGGCCAAGTAGTCTGGGGTGACTGGAGGAGGGGTCTGAGGAGGATCTGGATGGGAGCAGCCAGTAAACTGGGGTGAACAGTATGCCAGGGACCTGGACCATGTGGCCAAGGGAGTATGGAGTCTAGCTAGGATTAAGGGTAGGAAGTGGCCAGGGGCAACTGGGAAGTAAAAGAACAGAATTGGGAGATTGGGTGTAGCCTCAATTAAAGGTCAGTTGATAGGATTATAGCCTCAGATAAAAAAAAACAGAGATTTGGCCAGGTGGGAAAGTCCAGGGTTTTTCCTTTTTGGGGTCCAGATCCCAAAGGCATGGTCTTTTCCTTTTAGGGATTCAGATCCCATCCCCATCATTATGATCCTCATTTTACAGTTAAGGAAATTGAGGCAGACAGAGGTTAAGTGACTTGCCCAGGGTCCAACAGCTAGGTACAAAAGAAGGGTATAAAAGATTCTAGTTTGTGGAAGTGCTAAATTCAAACTCAGGTATCCCAGGGAAGCTGCGGTGTCAGGTAAACTTGTCACACTGTCAAAAGTTCAAAGAAAGGTTTCAAATGAGAACATTTATACAATAGAGAGAAAAGAAATTCCTCCCACGCAAAATTCTCTAGATATTAGATATGACAAAGAGTAGCAGCACCCTTCAGATTTTTGGCCATCTTTTCTGATTATATAAAAACTCATTTACAGAGAGCATTGGATGGAGGCATTAGTAGAAGCTTGGCCACTTGTATGTGTTTCACAGTCTGCCTTAGGTTAAAAAGTCACACACATAAACTCCCCAGACCCACTGTAACCTTCACAGCTGTGGCCTGTCATAAGGCTCTGAGTTGTTACTTAGGCCTACCAGCCTCATTTTCCTCATCTACACAAAGGAGAAAACTGGACTAGATTTACCTCTGAAGTCTCTTCTAACCTAGTCTAAATCTACAATCATATAGCTTAACCAGAAGGAGTTAAATTGTTGTCCTACCTGAAATGGGGTTTGGAAGTGGAGGGAGATATGTAAGAGGCAAAGCAGTCCTTCAGAATCTCAGTTTTATGGGAATCCAAGTTCATTTCCCCCCCCCCAATCATTTTGAATGGGAAGACAGCCCACATTAAATCTATCTAACTGGATTTAAATCACATTTCTATGATCCTACTTAGAATTACTACTGCTATGTCTATAAAGAAAATAATAATAATGAAATATAGCCTTTCTGCCCTCTCATGTCCAGCAAAATAAATGGAGTTGGAGTTTATCACTGAGGAACAGACTATAAAATATACCTGATCATTATCATGTTTCCTTTCCATTGTGGTCCTCTGCTCTCTAGTCCAAATAGCAACAATTTCTATAGGAAGGGGGGGGCAGGAATCAGGAAAGGGGTCTCCCTCACTTAATCATTGTTTGGGTTCAGATGGCTCTGAGTAAGTGTAAATTGCAATTGTTTCTAGTATTGTCCAGAAACCCTGAAGGTCTTTTTCCCAGATTGATTTCTTTTCCCCCTCATCTTGACAAGGTAAAAGAGGCCATTCTTCGGCTCATTTCTTACCTAGCCTTAATCACTGTATGGGCCTTGCCGCAGACAAACTGAGACCTGGGAAAGACCTTAGCTTAAAAAGGCCAAGGTCTCCCATAGAGTCCGGGGCCATCTCCAGTCACCCAGATCTCTATCTTGCCTCCCTGACATCATGGTGTCCACTTCCAGAACCAAGGACAAATAAGGACAAACAACAAACAGCCTGCAGGGGAGGGAGACGTGGTGGGGCATAACAAGCATTTTTAAAGTTCCTGCTATGTGTTAACCACTTTACAAAAATCTCATTTGCTCCTCACAACTCTGGTGAGGGAGGTGCTATTCTTTTACAATTTAGGAAACTGAGGCAGACAACGTTTTAGTGACTTGCCCAGGGTCTTGCAGGTAGAAGTGTCAGAGGCTGGATCAAGAGCTCTATTTATTGGGTTACCTAGGTGCCTCAGAATTCAGACAGCTGTGCATTCCAAGACCTTAGTTTGCTCTGCTCTGGCTCTCCTCTAGCTTATTAACATCCTTCCTAAAACATGCTGGCAGAGCTGCATGCAGTACTCTGGACGTGCGGTCTGACCACAGTACAGAAGAAGGAGCATCACCTACCTAGTCTTGGACACTTTGACCCATAATGCAAGTGAATATCATATTTCTTGGCTGTTAAATCACACCGTTCATATTAAACTTGTAGCCTCAGATCTTTTTTGGTTAAACTGCCATTATCTGTAAATTTGAGTTTTTAAACATAAAGACTTTTCATTTCTTTATCTCTACTAAAATGCATCTTATTAAACTGACCCGACTCATACTTGGTCAAGCACTTTTTAGACCTTTACTGCTGCAGCTTTGGTTCATCTGCAGCGAACACGCTGGACTGGGGAGAGAGATAGACCGGGACTTAAATCTTATCTCCAAAATCACTCCAGTGACCCTAAGCAAGTCACTTAACCCTTCTCAGTTTTTCCTGTCTGCAAAATGAGGTAGCTCCTTACCCACGACCCCTGGCAGCCAATCATAAGCTGATTATTAACGGCCAGACCCGCCTTTATCGTCGATAAAACCGCGGGGCCCTCCGAGCAGAGTCCCTCCCCCTTAGGGAATTTGCACTGGCGGCCTCTTCGCGAGAAGGCCCAGAGCCAGTTAAAGCTGGGCTCTTTGCGTGGGGCCGTTCGGCGCATTCCGCATCCTCTCCTCCCACTCGTCGCGCGCTCTGCGGCAGCAGCCCGGGAGCTCGCGCGCTAGGCAGCAGGAGACCCGCTCCGCCGCAGCCCGGGAGCTCGCGCCCCAGCGCAGCCCTAGCGGCTCTGAGCGCAGCCCGGGAGCTCGCGCGCCAGGCAGCACGGACCACTCTCCTCGTCAGACGTGCAGCAGCAGCAGCCCGGGAGCTGGCGCGCCAGGCAGCATGACCCGCTCCGCTCCTTCTACTCACCAGAGGCTCAGCGGAAGGAACGCTCGGTAAAAGGGCAGTTACTGCCAGTAACCTCGCGAGAGTCGGCGCGGGCGGGGGGGGGACTGAGCAGGCGCTATGGCTGCGGCGGCGGCAGCGACGGTTGGGAACGGAGCCGTCACCCCAGCGACCGGCGGCTCCTTCGCCGGCTCCTATCGGCCCTTTGAGCCCCAGGCGCTGGGGCTGAGCCCGAACTGGCGCCTGACGAGCTTCTCGGACATGAAGGGATGAGGCTGCAAGGTCCCCCAGGAGGCGCTGCTCACGCTCCTGGCGGGACTGACGCGGCCGGAGGAGCGGCCCCCACGGGCCCCCGGCCTAGGCCTCGGCTTCGGGGACAGCGCGGCGGACGAGGCTGCTGGCCCGGCCGCTCAGGAGCCCGGGCCGGAGCCCGGGCCCTTCCTGCCGGCCGCGCCGGGCGCCAGCCCCGGCCCCCCCACCCTGGGCATCGGCATGGACTCGTGCGTGATCCCCTTGAGACACGGGGGGCTCTCGCTCGTGCAGACCACCGACTTCTTTTACCCTTTAGTGGAAGATCCCTACATGATGGGGCGGATCGCCTGTGCCAACGTGCTGAGCGATCTTTATGCCATGGGCATTACCGAGTGTGATAATATGCTGATGTTACTCAGTGTCAGCCAAAAGATGAATGAGGAAGAGAAAGAAAAAATTATGCCTCTTATGATCAAAGGCTTTAGGGATGCGGCTGAGGAAGGAGGAACGTCAGTGACAGGGGGGCAGACGGTGATAAACCCCTGGATCATAATTGGAGGGGTTGCTACTGTGGTCTGCCAACCTAATGAGTTCATCATGCCAGATAGTGCGGTTCCTGGCGACGTGCTGGTGTTGACCAAACCTTTGGGCACTCAGGTGGCGGTCAATGCCCACCAGTGGCTGGATAATCCAGAGAGGTGGAATAAGATAAAGTTGGTGGTAACCAGAGAAGATGTAGAATTGGCCTATCAGGAAGCTATGTTTAGTATGGCCATGCTGAATAGAACTGCAGCTGGATTGATGCACACTTTTAATGCACATGCTGCCACGGATGTCACTGGCTTTGGTATCTTGGGACATGCTCAGAACCTGGCAAGGCAACAAAGAAGTCAAGTATCCTTTGTCATTCATAATCTACCCATCATCGCTAAGATGGCTGCTATTAGTAAGGCCAGTGGGCGTTTTGGTCTTCTCCAGGGAACATCTGCAGAAACCTCTGGTGGTTTACTGATTTGTTTGCCCCGAGAGCATGCAGCTCGCTTCTGTGCTGAAATTAAGTCTCCTAAATATGGGGAGGGTCACCAAGCATGGATTATTGGCATTGTGGAAAAAGGAAACCAGACAGCCCGCATCATCGACAAACCAGGGATTATCGAAGTTACACCACGTGGAGCCACTGTACCTCTTCATCCCAATAATTCCCATGCTAGCCTTGAGCCTGGTTCATGAGATGGCAAAGCAGCATGTATTTGGACCTTATAGACTTTTGGACGCAATCATGGATCGTTTTTACAGGACTACTTATTGTTTTGGAGAAGGGGAAATTTCCAAAGAAACTTGTTGAATGGTAAAGTTGCCCTCTTTGGGTGACTTTCTTTAATGAGCCAGTTAAGGAAAACAGCTGCTTTTGTGCTTATTTCAATGTCATAAATTATATTTTAGATGTTTTCTACTTTCTGGATGGGTTTGGTGTTCTCTTCTATAGGAGGGAAGCAGAATAATTTTATTTCCCCTTCCAGCAGCAAGATGAAGCTGTTAAAAGTTTGAGGCTTTTTCTTGAACTATGTGATTAGAGAGATTGCTTGGTTGATTATATTCATACATAGGAAATTAGATTATTTATTGAAGGTGAAAGACACATTGAAAAGAACTTAGATCATAAGCAAATAAGCCTGAAACAAAAACTTTCAAACTTGTAATAGTAGGATGGTATTATCTGGAATTATTTATTGGATTTTTTTTTCCCCGAAGTGTTGACTCTTCCCCACCCTGGCCAAGAAGTGAGCAGCTTGTCCAAAGGTTGGGAAGTAATCACCTGAAGCCATTCTGCTAACCTTGCCTAGTCTCTATTTATGATGCTTCTCCCATAAAACCCTAGTAAAGGGCTGGAAGAGGCTGAGCAAAATCTGAGAGCCTAGGCCTTGGTGTCTCTAAAATGTATCATCTTAAGTTGTCAATTCCTGATCACTCAACTAATAAAAGTTAATTTTTAGATCTCAATAAATAAACAATTAAAAAAATAAAATCTAGATTAACTGTATTCTTAGCATTCCTCTTATCTATCAGTGTAGCAACACTATCAAAAAAAGAAAAGCGGTAGTCTGGCATGACCTGTTCCTTGATGCCATGCTGGTTTGCTATGAGCACCGCAGCCTTATCTAGATATTCATGAATGATTTATTTTTAATGCGTTTTATTATTTTGATAGGCATCAAAGTTAATCTATAGCCTACATAATTACTTTTGTTTGGGGCACTTCTATTCTGGAAAGAGTTCTAGACATAAGAGACCTGGTTTCAAGTCCTTCCTCTCTATAGTTATGTGATCATGGGCAACTCATGTAATCTGTCTGAACTTGTTTCCTCTCACTAACATATACTTCTGTTTACCTTCTGTTATGCGGTACAAATGAAATAATGCATGTAAAGTGCTTTACAGATCTTAAAAGAAGTAATTATTTGAAATAATCGCTGACAGTGGTTTAACAATCATATCCTCTAACTCTTTGAAGTGAAGTACCCTGGAAAGTAGTTCATGTGGGCTTATGGGCGTAGTCACTTGAATTTATTCAGTCCTGAGTTCTCAATATATTCTTGCTTATGTTTCTATTATCTGTTACTCACTTTTGTTCTGTACCTTCCAGTCCAAAGACTATTCCATTTGGAAGAGAAATAAAGAATCAAATGAGATAATCTGTCTAAAGCACTTTGTAAACCTTAAAGTGCTATGTTTATTATTATTATTATTATTACTTTTTATCATAGCTTTATCCATTTTAGGCAGTAGTACTAGCCCATTTTTTTCTTCTCTTTTTACCAATATAAGCTAAATACATCTTTTTTGTTGTCTTTATATTCCTGGCCAGTTTCAGCTTTTTTCTGAACTTTAGTGCTTTTTAACACTTTCTGTGCTTTTTGTATTTGCCCTTAATTACCTAATCTTCCTTCACTCTTCCATCTTTTAAAAATCAGAGTTGGTTAATGAGTTCCTTGTGTATCTACTTGACACATTTTAGACAAAGCCTCATTTTTCTTCTCAGTGTTACTTCTTTTCATATCTTCAGAATTTCATCCTTGAGAACCTTCTGTCCCTCCTGGACTGATTTCTTTGCAAAATTTTATTCCATGGGATCCTGCTTTCTATAAACCCTGAAATCTGTTCTTCACCTATATCAGAGCGCCTGCTAATTTTAAGTAAACTTTAAGATGCAGTGGTCACTTCTCTTCTAAGGTTGCTGTCATTTCTACTTAAGTAGCCAATTTGTCTTTGTTAGTGAGAATCAGCTCTAGAATATAGCTCACCATGTCACTTCCATTACCTTTTGAAGGATAAAGTCTTAAAGGCAAGCCAAAAAATTATTGGCTACTCTTGCTTTGGGCAGAGAAAGTTGTAGATGTCTGGGTAATTTTAATTTGTTATCACTACTGTATCATTCTTCCTTGTTAGGATTTTTTAAAAGATCTGTTTCCCAAGACCTTCTCTATTTGCTCCTTTTTTGTGTGTGAGCCATTGTATACTCCCACAACAATGTTCTCTATCTCCTTCAGCTGGTTTTTTATTCAAGCGCTTTTTCACCATGCTTCCCCTTCTGACTCCTGGATTTTCTCACATAAATATATTTTCTTAATTAGCAATTCTTTTCCATTCTCCTTTTAATCTTTTATATAAGATACATGTCTTTCCAGAGTAATTTTCTAGACATGGACCCCATCTCAATTCTCAGTAATATCTGTTAAGATTACATTTGCTTCCTTGAATTTAGATCTCTAGTATACCTTGTTTATTATCCAAACTGTGTATTTGTAGACAGAAACTTGAAGCCCTGGGTTTTATTGTAAGCTCCTTTCTTGAATTTTGTCTGGTTACTGGGCATTTGCTTTTTTTTTTTTCCTATTTCGTAGCTGCGCTCTGTGTTATCTAATTTGGTAGTTGTAAATAGGCAAGTTTCTTCTTTTCCTTTCAAAACTTTTTTTTTAATTAGATAAGCAAGACTCTAGGCAAATAGGTAGGCTCCTATACAGTGTCTCATGGATTTGCACTTGGCTTTATGGGGCTTAATGTTTTTAACCAATAATTTGGATTTTTTTAAAATCAGCCCTTGTTAGGTACGTTCCATCCTTGGTAGTGGCCATCGTTTCTATATCTTATGCCGTGGTTCAGAAATGAAAAACTTCTTCCTCAAATACCATCTTCTTAACCATCTCTTTACTTCCCAAATCTCTTCAGAAGCCCTTTCCTATTATCAGAAGTGATTAAAATGTCACCTGTACTGCTGAGGTCCTTATTTTGCCCAAGCTTTTCTAAATGCGTTTGGCAATATTATCTGTCCCTGGGTGTATCAACAGAAATTGGTAATAAGTCTTGGCAGGTTCTCTGTCCTAGGATATATGCTTTAGGAATGCAACTGAACTGTATTGTTAGTGGCAGGTTGACAGATAATTACCTTAGTACCCTTCAGGTGTCTCCTACTACTACTGCTTGCCTCTTCTTCCTCTGACTTTTAATGATTTCTCTCCTGATGACGTCTACAGATTCCCTTTGAGAACAGACTCCTTTTTCCTCTGAGAAGATAGTTCTCTCGTCTACTGAAAGAGCCTTGTTACTTAAATGTTAAGTGGTCCTTTTCCCCTGTCTCTTTTTTGTCACATTCTTCTACCTTCCAGTCTCTTGGCCACCTAAGATCATTTTTCTTTTTGTTTTTAGTATTTTAAAATTTTAAAAAATAATTCTTCCTTGTACCTGATAACTTGATGGGACAGGTATTCCTAAAACTCCTTTACCTTTTTTTCTGGCAGGATAGGACTTAATAGTTGCTTATGTTAGCCATGACCCCAAGAACCTTAAGCTCTGGGTACAGACTCAGTCTTCTTAAACATTTCTCATTTTGGCTGGTGTCCTCATGTAGAGCATCTTCTGAGGACTTTAGATTTTAACTCGTGCCTCAGTATCTACAACAAGGGAAGAGGACTTCAAGCCTTCATGCAAAGACAGGACGTTGAATACAGGCAAACCTTACAGAAAACACAAGGTACAGAGGACTTGCATCAGAACCCATAATTGGTAAACGCAACTTTCACCTTCCAGTGGGTCTCAACTTTAACAGAAACTTATCCAGACTTGTAGTACTAACTTAAGGTTGAAGCCTTCCTACAAGAAGAAAGTACTTGGAGTCACTGTGGGTTGAAATGTCTCCATCTGGAGAGCCTTACCTTCTGAGGAACCTGTACAACCTTCCAGACTTGTTTGCTATTTTCTTCCTTTCCTTAAGAGTTGACCTACCCAAACATTCATAGTCCAGGACTCACAGTACAGTTGAAGGGCAAGGTCTTCATGAATGAAGGGCTCTGTCTTGTTGCTTCTTGGCTTTCTTTCAGCATGTTCTCCACTGCATGGTTCTTTAGGAACTGTGTTTCTCTGCTGTTGCCACTTCACTCTTGCGCTCTCTGGAGTATAAAGATTGCAGGGCACTTGCACACATCTGCAGATTTCCTGCCAGTAAGTGATCTAAAGCTGCCTTCTGTGTAGTATCCTTTCTGTTCTCTGAGTCTCTTGAATAGGTAGTCTTTTTTTATATTTGATAACCATTTCAATATAATTGGTTTTCGTTGTAGTCTTACCTATTTTATGCATTTTAAGAACATTCTGAGGAGTTCATGGCACACAAAAAAGGGTGAAGAATTATTACTTTAGAAGCTCTTTCTGTAGCTAAGCCCAAGTGAATAAGCTCCAGTAGCAAGGCAGGCCACAAAATCTGTTCTCTTCAAATGTAGTTTTAGTGGGCCAGCAAGTATTCAGGGTCATCTGAAGTCATTAATACCATTACAAGGACCTCATCCCTCTTAACCTTGTTACCGGGAACTTAACTTTGACAAGAAGTAAATCTTGTAAAGGAAATTTCAACCTGTCTTATGCCTTACTACCCTTTTTATTCCCATCAAATACCACCCACCCTGTGCGTGCAGTCAATTGTAATTTTTCATTTTCAAAAAATTACCCTACCTGCAGCCCTAAAATACTGGGTATTTCTCTGGTGATTTGGGAGGACTCCAAAGTATTAGTCATCTTACTCATTATAGCAGCTATATTTGTCCTATTCAATATCTTCTCCAGAAATATATATTCCCCTAATAATCTATAGTAGTATATTAAGTCCTATCACAATAAAGACTTTTCTCTTGGAAGAGGCCTTACAAATGTAACCTGTATAGGCTCAGAGTCTTCAGTCATGTTAGCTTTCAATTGAAATTTACTGTACATACATATTTAAATCCCTAAACAATTCCTTTTGTGTTCTTTTGTTACCATTTCTTTTCAGACTGTGAGGTCATTCTCTTAGTTGTTTATATTATATCTAGGCCATTCTACTTGTACTCTTAATATTGGTTTTGAACTTTGAATTTTGCTTTAGTGCCCACTTTTTCTAGAAAAGTAGTAGTGTCTTATCTTCAATTTAGGCATATGTCTTCTGGTGGCTGCCTTAAGGATTATGGTTTAGTGGCATCACTGTAGTAAACATTAAATACCCACTGGGCAGCTAGGTGGTGCAGTGGGTAGAGTGTGAGACCTGGAGTCAGGAAGATTCTTCCTGAGTTCAAATCTCTGGGCAAGTTACTCAACCCTATTTGCCTCAATTTCCTCATCTCTAAAATGAGCTAGAGAAGGAAATGGCAAACCGCTTCAGTACCTTTGCCAAGAACTCTCCAAATAGGGTCTCGAAGCATTGGACAGGGGGCAGCTAGATGACGCAGTGGATAAAGCTCCAGCCTTGGAGTCAGAAAGACCTGAGTTCAAATGCGTCCTCAGACACTTGACACTTACTAGCTGTGTGACCCTGGGCAAGTCATTTAACCCCACTGCTTAGCCAAAAAAAAAAAATTGGACACAACTGAAAATGACTGAATGAATACCTACTATGTTCAAGGAGCTATGGGTTTGAAGACAAAAGTGAAATAATCTGTGCCCAAAAGGAGTGTCTATTTTACTGAAAGGACTTGACATCCACTCAGATGACTAAATACAAGATAATTTCAGGAGGGAGAAAGCACTAACAATTGCGGGTATTAAGAAAGTATTTGCCTAGGAGGTAGCAACTGAGCTGAGCCTTAAATGAAGCTAAGGACTCCAATAGGCATAGGTTAGGAATGAGTATATTCTAGGTGTCATAGGGGACAGGCTTTTTGGTGTTTTTACTTTTCAGTTCTCTCCTTCCTCCCTATCTTCTATCCATGAAGAAGGCAAGAAAAACAAAAACCATTACACATATGTATAGTGATATATAACAAATTTCAGTGTTAGCAATATCCAAAAAAAAAAAAAGAAAATAGGCTTTAATTTGCACTCAGAGCTCTTTATTTGGAGGTAGGGAGTATGTTTCTTTGTGAATCCTTGGGTACTATGGTTAGTCATTGTGTTGATCAGAGTTCCTAAGTCTTTCAAAGTTAATTATATTGTTGCTATTGCATAAATTGTTTTTGGTTTTGCTCATTTCATTTTGCATTAGTTCAAGTCTTCCCAGGTTTTTCTGAAACCATTCCCTTCATAACTTCTTACAGCACAATAGCATTCAGTCACATTAACATACCGTAACTTTTTCAACCATTCCTCAGTTGATGGCCATCCCCTCAGTTTCCAATTTTTTGCTACCACAAAAGAGCTACTATAGCAATATGTTTTTGTATATATGGGCCCT